ATAGCAGTACATTGATTAGTGGAAACCTCCATTCATAAGGGAAAAACACGTGCTGTACTACTAATGACTACAGTAATTACATTTTTTGATCCTTGAATCATTCAATCATTACAGAGTCGTTTGATCGTAAATCAGTTTGCGTTCGAGTCAGTTTGTAGGCAATGTCTGACGAATCAGTCAAGGAAGCAGGATCAAGTACCAATTAACGTAATGACTGTTTGGCAAGCAGTGCTGTTGCTAAACACAGCTGTATTGTCCTCTTAAGCAACCAACGTCGCCACCAACGGTACCGGACCGTGAACGCCGAACAAACAAAAACTAATTACAAACTACCAAATTACCAAAACCACACCTGTTCGCCTATTGAACTGATAGAGTAGAATGAAATAAGGATTACCTTACCTTACTAAATTTAAACTAAAACTAAAAACTTACTTGGTTTGCAAAGTATTATATTCCATAGAAGAGCATATGAATAATTAAGCAAATGTTAATTTAAATAGCTAAGTTGACACTATTCAGATGTACTAACATGTACTTGTCTTGTACGAATAAAGATATTTTGATTTGATTTGATTTGATTACCAAAATAAGGGGATTGAAATGAATGCTGTAAAATCATTGATTCGGATGAAGTATAGCATGGTAACTGAGTAATAATAGTCCTTGCATATCAATGGGAATGTTCCCGATCCCGTGATAAGAGAGGAATACTTAAAAAACTAGACCCATCCGTCCTGGATGATTAAGCTTGTGATGATACACTGGCTCCATTCTACCATTGTTCCACACTATATAACCTTGATTATTCAGGCTAAAATGCCTTCACAAGCGTGCTCTGACTTGTTAAAGTACCAAACGCAGCACTTAGAAGAAGTACTTAAAAATAAATACAATGTAGTAAAGTATCTGCAAGATCGCAAGATTAAGATGTATGACATCAGAAAGCAATGTATACATCAAGATAATGTTCAATATTCGGATTTGCGAAGTCAATCACGCAAAATAAATTTAGAGTCAAACAAACAAATACCATATTACAGTGTCTGATAATTATTTATTTGTTAGTAGGGTACCTCCAATTTAAAATCACAGCTATAAATACTAAAAGCTCAAAATATTTCCAAATAACTCTTAAAAATTGTTTTACAATGATCGAAGTATGATTCTTATTATTGAAATGATTTATTATAAACCTACGTCTTAAATAAGCAATGCGGATTTATATCAAAACATAGACGCACATACCAAAAGTGTAAACTACGAAAAATAATTACTCCAACAAAATGAAGCATTAAGGAAGTGACTTTGGCATTGAGCCCTACCGCAACAACCGAATACTTAGCGTCAGCAGACATAACAAACAATCAGCTGACAACATAACAGCGTCGCGCGGAGGTCAGCTGACGATGACGTCATCGCTTAGTTCTACAGGTGTTTCAGCGATACTGTAGTGTGGGTCTAGAGGTGTCCCCGTTCATAAGACCTTGGCCAGACCTTGGTTTAACTGGTTCATTCTCCAGCCAGCTTGTCAACCAATGGCAACCTTTGCTACTGTTACATATTGTATACATATAAGATTCGTGAGCAGCGTTTCCATATTTCTTTAAAACTACCAAATTAGGCCAGATTGTTAATTTGAAGTTTTAACTTCGCTCTCTGTTACGAAATTGGAAATTTGCTGTAGTTTAGCTCCGAGATCTTTGGGTTTCCCGCTAATGTAGGCTTTCAGAGTGTTTGATTGGTTAATGCCTCGAGCCTCGGTGCTAGAGGGACGGGTTCGGTTCCCGGTGAATCTAAAAATATTAGACACCTTTACTTTGCCGGTCGAGTTTCATGTGAGAAAACGGCTCTTGGACAATAAACGAGTGTCTAATTGAACTAATTTACTATTAAATACATGCTAGTGGTCCATATAGATAGAATTTCTCTCATTTAATATCTAGAGACCTATAATAATACCTTGAATATTGCATATAAGATTATAATATTCTCCCCGCTGCATTGCACCCCTATAAGCCAGACATTATACGAATTTAATAACCAAAAATTGTCATCCTCATCACATTTTACTACACAAAAAGATGTAGTTCCATAAACATAAATTATCTCATATTTGTAAGGCTGTCACGTATTACTTCATATCGTTCGGTCCCCGGATGCATGCAACACCGACAAACTCACAGCTGTGACAAAATGTAAGATGTGACTCAGAGATCTAAGATTTTGTAGACGTGGTCTAAATATAAATAAAATTTGTTTACAGGTATTGGATGTTTCACTGAATATTTACTTATTTTAGTTCCGAGTTGCATCGGTCTTATACTCATCCATACCCAGAACCAATTCCGGTGTATTGAGGATTTGTATAATTTTTTTTTCTTATTTAGCGTGTTTAATCGTTAACTAACGGTTATTTGCTTATTTTACGCCGTGTTGAAACCCCCAGCCTGCCCTTGGCCCCAAAGTCCTATTCTGCTTCAGTGATCTTGATTCCGATCGCATAACTTGTTCCATGTAGTTTGTCGAACCGGTTATTAATGTAATTTCTTGACTACTTTTTTCACCTTTTACGTATAATAGTGACGGACCTAGTAGTGCCTTAATAATTGGACGATAGGTAGATTTCCTCTTCATACTGTAGCAAAAACTGCCCTTATACTTAACGTGGAGCTTACTTTTAAGCGTCGTAGAGCTTAAATTCTTTTAATTCCAATGAAGGAAGAAATCAGCTTTAAATATACCTTTTTAAAACAGATTTTGACAAAGAGAATACTACCATTGGCTAATAATACAACTATACATTCCACCCTCCCCCCTTAAAGTTGTCGCCAGTTTTTTTTTATCAAAATCGTCGTAGCTTATGTGAACCACCGACAGATTGTGCTGATCTTATTCATTTGTGTTCATCAATTAGAATATTGAGAATAATAAGAATGATTTACTACAACTCCTAACACATCCATGCCTATCGTTAGACATTTTCATTTGAACATACATTTCATATTCAAAGTATCTCTGACCTGTGTTTTATTAAAAACTGTTATTCGTTATTGCCATTAAAAATGTGCTTCTTGCCTGTTAAATCATTAACTTTTGTCACTTGCATTTAACTATAGGTTTATTGTTGCTCTCTAATCAAATTGAATTTATATTAGTCTATTATTTATTTTTATCAGTTGTTTTGGTTGTTAGCTTGTGGGTTTGTTGTTATCATGGTTTCAAATTTATTTTTTTTATTAGTATACCATTGGTTATTTTGTCGGTTGTTGTTTTGTTGGTAGGTTCGTTATTGTTATTGTTGTTGTTATTACATCATTATTCTATTGTTGAATTTATTGTAGTCTATAATGTTTTATTATTGTCAGGATTATTAACTGTGTATTCTAGTCTTTCACTTTCAGTATTATTTAAGCTCACACTGATTTTATTCCTATTTGCATTAATGACTGTTAGTAAGTTAAGTTTCTTTTATTTACACATGAACTATCTAATCTTTTCAAACTGTTTTCTGTTATGTTTGTTAAATGTTACGGTATAAGCCATCCTGAGTTGTACTGATTGAATTTCTATGGTTGTAAAATGTAGATGTCTGTTGAAATAAATAAATAAATAAAATAAACAAACATTGAAAACCATTTACAACTAACTTTCTTTAAAATGTCATAACAGACAAAATAGTTGAATAATGTAAATTTTAAAACATATTCAGCTGTCTGTTATTTTTATATCCTTACATGCTTATTTTCAATTACTGAAAGTTATTAGAACATTTTGAATCTTCAATTTGTTATTTCAAAAGAAATTTGAATACATGTACTCAGTTGAAAAAAAACTATATACAATGTTAGAACTATTTGATAAAAATTTGAGTTATCTCAAATAAACATAGCCTAGTTACAGTAGTATAATAGTCATTTTATCATTCTGTTTATTTTTATTGTAGAAGTTTAACTGTACGGGCACTTGAATATGTATACCCGGGGCTATTATTTAAGTCTTCCAATAACATTTAATACAATACTACTTTTTTCTTATTTGATTTCATACTTTTACTCTTTTAAGTATATTGATATAAATATATAAATATGTGGTATTCATAGTTAAATTAAAAAAATAGTTGTTACTATTGCTTCACCAGTTTGCTAACTATAGAACTAACTCAGGGAAGTTCTATAAGGGGGGAAGTTTGAAACGATTCAGTTAAAACACCTAATAATATTGATTTTTGTATTTAAAATTTACTCAGTGAAATATATACTGTAATAATTTGTAAAGATCACATGATCAAAGACCTTGCTGATGTTTATAATTATGATGAAATATACGCTACTAAATCTGTCCTACAAGGTAAATAGTGATAACATAATTTAATTATATTTTGCTCGAAATCACCAAATTCTTGTGAGGGCCATCAATCGATTTACCCTTATTAAAGATTTGTCACATTTTATGGTACACATCAACACATTCATTAATTCTGCCGTTGAATGTTAGATTAGGGGAGACATCCTATCAATATGGACCAAATAAATTTTTTTTATAGAAATAAAACATCTATAAATGAACCACCCAAAACGAGTGAGGTACTGTACCCAAAAGTATATTTTCTTTCTTAGTTTTTAATGCAGTACTATAGCCTTGTTTTATTTTTAATTTTTTTTACAAAAGATACTATAGTTATAACCAATAACTATAAACAAAACACATAATTTAGAATCTTGTGGCTTTTTTATATAATAACTTTACCTTTAAGTTTGGCTTGATTAAAAACATAAGTGTTTACAACAGAATCAGTAAATAAAAAAGGTAGGTTGTTTACCTCCTTAAGTTTTCTTTTTTGAAACTGGTTTCAACTTCATGGGAAGGATATTCCTACTCCCATAATCAAAGGTTCTATCTTAACTATACCATCAAGTAGCATAATAAAAAAAATAGCTTAATTGAAACAAATTCCAGCCAGCTGAGCTAAGTATTACATAAATAATGGCGGAACTCACCGTGAGTAGGAATGTATCACAGTTCACTAAGCACTTTCACTTGGTCCGAGTCCGTCACTACCCGACCTTCCCTTTCGCTTGTCGCCAGTGTACTGAGCAGCTGGTAACTCGCTCACTACTCAGCTCATTGTTGTCTCTCCCCCCCCCACCACCCACAACACTCCCACCATTGTTGCCGACCATTGTTGCGACTTGCGCCAGCCTTGCGTTCTGCCGACTGCGCGCTGATTAGGTCATACAATTTACAAATTAACTGGAAATTGATTGTTTTCTTTTAGTTTGATCGATCAACCAAAAGCTGCTTTTGATTTAGTATGTTTGAATTTTACTTTTTTATGTGTATAAATTAACGAGCATATACAGTTTGTTTGGTTGGTGATTAATTTATAAATAGAAAGAAAAAACTACTATATTTAATTTTGTCCTTATATAGTGTAACCTCAATAACAATACCTTCGATAGAAAGTTACAATCAATAGAAAGTGTAATTTATAATTACCCTTGATTTTATATCACCCCACTGATCACATATTATTGCAAACCTCGATAGGAAGTCAACAACAACAAGCCTTATTTGTAATAATCTTTATGAGAGACTGGTTATCGAGCTTTTACTCTATATGGGTTTAGAAATATACATGTCATACCTATCAGATCAATAGTAATAACAAGTATATAATAATCACAGGTATAAGACAATCGTATTTTTTAAATGGTGTGAAATGTTTAACAATATATTATACTGCATACCCGGGAGAGAGGACATATTATTTTGAAGGTCAAAAAGCCTAACTCATTTGAATAATTCAAATAGCAATCGTAAATCATTGTTTAAATTTGGTGTACAATAATTATTATATTTTTATAAATAAAAAGAAACCCCTAACAAATTGGACACCTTGAATGTTTCTGCCATTTTTAAGGGCTTAGAACCAAGGATACAGGAAGCAAAATTAATAATATTAGATGTTTTATTTCGATTCAAACTACTACGAAGCAGCCAAACCCTCTAAAATCAGGAAGGAAAAATGTATCATATCAAGTTTTAGCCTAAATATGATATTTAAAAAACAAAACAAAAAATGACTGAAAATTCAATCAGTACACATCTATGTTAAGAGTATAGACAAGTATAGAGTCAAATATGAACATAGCAAATTTGATCCTTACATGATTATCTAAAGCCTTGCCTTTCCAAGCTACTGCGGCACTACTCATATTATGGTCATAATTGATTGTGGAATGTGTCACACTATCATCTCACTTGCCACAAACAACTTTCCAAAATATGTTTGTACACTAATTGCGGGAGATCTCGACATAGATTATCAGCTCAATAATAGAGGATCTTAACGACTGTGAAGCCTTTCAATGCTTAGGGCGAACAATTAGTTATTGCTGCTTTGTGTAACATACTCCTTGCCTACCCAACTGCTCAATACAGTTAATTTTGTTGCATTTTCTTTTAAAATTAATCGATTTATTAAACTAAGATTGCTTTCATAGCAGTGAAAGCCAATTGAACGGAGCGATCATGTTTCATGGTTTTTAGTAAAGCAATAAATAAAAAAAATGTTTATATATATAATACAAAATACAACTATTTCTCCAATTTAGCTTACCAGTTTCTCCCAGAGCTATCAACATCTATAGCAAGTTTTATAAGTAAAGATGTGAACATTATATATATATACTTTGTCTCGGTATTTTTCCTGAGGTTTGCTTGCTAATTTCATCTGGTAAACCTACAGTTCTGGTTGAACCCGACCTTGAACCTAAACCAATCGACATTTTCTCAATCTTGGTCAGATTTTGCAATTGTGTACCAGAAATGGAAAAGGCTGAAAGTGCCACAAAGTAAAATTTTCAGTATTCAATAAAAACTGTATATAAGTTAAACTGTATGCTTTAAAAATCTGTAAAATTCATAAAAAATACATCATACATTTTTATTTGATATACATACAAAAAAAATTAATTAAACATATTTAACTTGATTTTAAACAGGAAAAGCTGAAAGTGCCATCGTACTTTTTTTTTGTAAACGCTGTAAGTGCCATGCCTTGTTTGTTAAAATGCTGTAAGTATAGCACTCACTACCCAAAATAAGATGAATGTTCATAGTAGATTTCCATTTTATGCATAACAGCTATTTTTTAGGTTTTGCTTTTTTAACCATAGTGGGAAAACAATGTTAAAAAATTGGTTGAAAAAATGTAATTAAAAACTTTTATTAATTACAATATTTTTAAAAGGTATTACAAAATTATCAAGAGGTATTATAAAGTTGTCTATGTATTAAACTATTGTCTCTCTCTTACTTGTCCCCTATTCTTCACAGTTTTCTTAAAAACAACTTTTTTTAAAAAAAAAAAATTTAAAATAAAAAAAAATTATTTGTTACAATACTTTTTTAAGAGGTATTATTACGTATTGATTGAGGTAAGAGGTATTAACTATGCGCACTAATGCACAAAAATGCTGGAAATACACGACGCTTTGTTACTGACTCGCGACAAACCGTATACTGCTGTGCAAAGGCACATACATCATGGCGGGCGGCACTTACAGCCTTTTCCACTGCCGGTCAGCGGGCACTTTCACGGTGCTGCTCCTTGCGGCTGCTCTAGGAACTACTAGGAATTTTTCCGGCACTTACAACATTCTCTAGGCTATTGGCGATGTCGCTTACTACACATTCCACGCAAAAACTCAATTTTTTATTTTTTGGCACTTACAGCCTTTTCCATTTCTAGTACACAATTCAGGCAGAAATAATCTTTCATGGATCTTTTTAAGACTTGACTGCTTTGAGAGAATTACACAAATAGTTGTCACCATACCTTAAGAGTTTTGTTATCTTAAATTTTGTACATTTAACAGAATTATGAAAAGCATTGTTTTCAAATTTGGATTGTTCAGAGACAATTTCGGGCATATAATAATGAACTACAGTAATTATGAAATTATTGGAAGAACTCCTTTTTGAGAATACTGTATTAAGGCTAACACGTATATTAGAACAGAAAACTATACTGACAGTAGCAGTTAAGTAATGTTAAATAATGTTTCCTTTTGGGCCAGTAACATCATTTGTTTATTATTATAACCTTATTACCAACTAAGGCTGCGTTGTTGACCAGCATAGCTGGATAAACTGTGTCAATTTTAAAATATAAATATTAATTATTTACAACTACAAACGTTTTTTTCCTGAAGACCACTGATCTCTGGGGGGAGCTTATTGAATATTATTTTATGATTGAATTAAGTTATGATCCATACCTCGTTCTGTTCTACTATTATCAATACATGCAGGCGTCGTTTTAAATTGTCATCACCCGATATATAACAAGAGATAAGCCTATGTTCAATGTAATACAGTTCTTTAGTTATGATTTTTTTATTTTTTTATTTATATGAGTGATATCTCTAAATTAGGGATAGCTTTCCATGAAAACTGAATTACTCTTTCCAATAATTAAAAGTCCTTTAGGCCAAAAGTAAAATCAGTTTTATTGCTAACTAATCGTAGACATCGATATTTTCATGAGAAACAGATTGTAAGCAATATTGAAGATATTAGCTACAATATGAAACATAATGATTAAGTTCTATATTTCACATTTTTATAGGTGAAATGTCATGCAAGGCTTCATATTAATAATTTGAACACTATTTCTCCAGACTTTAGTCACTAGTTACTCATAACTGCTATCAGCAGGCATATAAAGTAAGACCGGAAGTGACTTCATTACTTCATTCAAGAATTACTGCAATCAGTGAGTACGTGTGATTTCATTCAACTTAACAGAATAATTCATTAAGAATGAGTACATGATTCTGGAAAACTTGTGCACAATATAGATAGAAAATCTCACTCATATTGCTATTACCAATATGAAATATGACCAAAAGAATTGTTCAGGAGCAAAACTATAGAAAAAAATGCTAGTTTCTTTGTAAAACATACAGTAAAAGGTAAACATTTTTAAATAATTTGCAAGATATTAAACAGGTGACATTTTAAACTATAAATTGTGTTTATTCAAACCAATCTGACGGAATTTAGCATCTCAGTGAATAATTTATATTTTTTCTAGAAAGCCTCCGCATCCTATATCCATGATTATTTGCAGGTTACCATCTATATATTAATAGGCAAGCATGTTTCTTTAAAACATTTTTTCTCAGCTCCTGTGCATCACAGGGAAAATCGTTAGAAAGATATTTTCCTGTAGAAGTGCAGAATTCCTTTAAAAATTAAAATAGGCTCAAATACAAGCCCAAAAAATTGATTTGAAATTAAAAAAAATTAACATGGGCTTTATGGGTGGTCATGTTGGCAACGAAATAACAACAAAATATAAACAGAAAATCAAAACAAATGGAAGAAGTTACAATCACGTGTTTTATTTACAGCGTGGGGTGAAAATAGAGAATTAAATTCCATCCCCATGTAAAAGTTGTCACAAGTTTTTAAAATTAAATTCGTCGTAGTTGATGTGAGCCACCAAAAGATTGCGCTGATCTAAATGACTAATTTCTGTCGAATTCACGATGTTTTTTTACCAAGTCAAACTTATGGAATGACCTATTATGAGCTATAGCAACTGTTATGACCCATCAACTTTATCAACAACAGAAAATAATGCAGAAAATAGATTTTTAGACACGCATTCGGTAACTGGCTGACACAACTAAATGTTTTTTAACTTAAAAAATGGCAACAACTGGTCCATATAAATGGGATGTCTACTTCAGTATACAATAGTCATTATATGTTTCTGGTAAAGTTTTCGACCACTAGTAACAATAGTTCCAAACTCTTAGCCCCAATACCTCATCGGAATGTTTGTCTCAGAATCTCCCAATAGCTTTATTTATCAGCGTGATCTCAAGACAAATATGTACAAAGATATGGGATATTTCCCTCACTTCAAGGCCTATGTGTCACTTCCTATGTTTACATTTGTAAGGAAATCCCCACGTTAATCAGCAGTTCTATTACACTCAATGACACTAGTTTCATAACTCCTAGACACAGTAATCCCTTCTTCACTTCCTGTATTTCCCCTGTCACCCTGACTCCTCTTGACGAATCATTGTTGAGGACTCGACCTT